GCAAGGCTATACTTATATAATGACTCTCTAAAATGTTTAGCACTAACAAAGGTTTGCCCTTTTGACATCAACAAATCTGCCCACTTTGATGAATTCATCACTGCTATTGGGGTTGGCAACATGTCTATACATAGACTTTCTATCGGTGTTGGCACATCTTGTACGGGAGATATGTTTATGTTGTCTGTGTCTAGATCTAATTCAATTAGAGATAGTGACATTTCACAAGGGTTAACCAAATCATCTAACTTGTATAAACAAATACAGCTATTGAGTATTATAGTTCAAGTTATCAAAATTAGATAGATTTCTTATCCTACACACAATCTTAATAAAACTAGTTGAAAACAACTTATTCTTGTGCACTGTCCAACTGTAACGCTTGTGTGAAGTCTTTCTCATTCTCACAAACATAAACATGGCCACTACTATTGTTGTACTCAATTACTTATCCAACACCAATATCGTCAACAAGATCCAAGAATGTGTCCCGTCAAAGCTAACTGTACTTCATTTTATATTCACAAGTCCCTGGCCACACATTATGAGCTACCATGCATTGTAGTTCTTCATATGTCATCCCTTCTCTAATCAATCTTCCAGTAATGATGCCCCCTTCATAAATGAATTTTCTTTCAAGGTCTTTACAAAGTGCCCTCCAACATGAAAGATGCAAAATAATTGTCTCCCACTACTGCTAGCCATTTATCCTCTATTGTTCCATGTCACTCAAGTATGACTTTCAATCAACTTTGGGTAATTAAAGACAGTGTACATTTACGTCAGAAATTTGACAATTGACAACAATAATTAGTATTTTCGCAACATTAGATTGCTTTTTCTCATACACAATTAGAATTAGCAAATTTACAATCGTAATACATATTTTCACCATTCCTCTGTACATCTACCTGTCATATAACCTATTCCAGTCCACACACTCATTTCCCTTTTATTTCAGCCTACCTAAGTTCCTTCAGCAGCACATTATACTCAATGTGCACCCACTTTTCAAAAATCACAACCACCACATCTTTAACAACTTAAAACAGCATGAGCATGAATTTCTTAAACCATAAACACTGTCAGATTTGCAACTCACTCCCAACCTACATACCCATGCACTTAAATACTTATTTCTTTCTCATTTACCTATCACAACCCACCTATGCTAACAAAATCACACGAACAAAACCAAAATTTTGAAAACAAAATCTTACCTCCCATGCCAAGATAACGCCACTTCCAGAGAAGACACAACACCGTAGGGCAGACTTGTGATTTCTCTCTCTTGCACCAACTCTAGTTTGGAGTACGACAGACGGCGAAGGGACAGACCTCAAAAGTGAAGCTCCGCCTCTGCGTTTTCTCAGCTCATGGTTGTCAACTATCTCCCTTTATCACTGGTGTGCTGCATGGGAGAGGTAGGAAATGGCACCAACTCCCCCCTTTCTGTAACATCCTGAAGAAGTACCAGAAATAGCCTGAATTGAATAGGCTACCAGACCCTTTTTTAGCAAAGGTCCCAAAGATGAGAAAGGAAATTAAAGCAGTTTCAAGGACTAAACTACAAAATGAAATTTTAAGGGGCTAAAGTGTAATCAAAGTTAGAAGCTCCAATAAAGTCTCAAAGGCCCAAAAAGAGAAAAGAGGCTAGATACAGACCAAAGGTTAAGTTAGAAGTCTCAAAGAGATGGTTTTATGATATTAAGCCTAAGCAAGGGTAAAAATTAAAAGTACATAGAAAATTCTAAAAAAATCCCAGAAAATAGGAAATAATATTCTAAGGCTCTTTTGTGAAGAGAGATGATGAAAATACCTCTGAGATAGCTTAAATGGAATTTATAAGGTTATGGCCAGTAAAAAGTACACTATTTAAGGTAATTACTTAAAATAGCAAGAGACCTCAAAAATAGATGCAAAAATGAGGTTAAAGGGTTGAAAGGTTGTACTAATTTATAAAATTAGTTTCAACCCTAGAAGGCCAGCAGAATGGCTTTAACATTTTTTAAGGCCAGAATTGCAGTCCATGGGTTTGTTGTGGGAAATTTAAAACGAAATACTTATGGTCTGAGTTATGATCTGAGAAAATTCATAGATTTTCTATGGAATTAAATGAATTTTATGGTATAAATAGATGAATTTTTGGAGTTCAGGATTGGATAAAATGCTCTAGTCAAATGTTAAATAATTAATGTCTCTTAATTAGCAGACAAAGTTAGAAAATATCTTAGATATTTTGAGGAAGACAAGTTCAACTTAAATACTCTTCTTGTTTTCCATGTGCTTCATTTATGAGGGTGATGAGTCATCATGTGAGTCACCAAAAGATATTTTATGGGCAGTAGAAAAATTAGAATGCAATACAAGTAAGTGTTAGACAGTTCCCTATTTACCCGATAGAGCAAAATTTCTACTATGTGACTCAATAAAGTTTTTCCCGCTGCTCCTTTAAGGTAGCACCATATATGTGCCTTTTATCGGCTAGAATTTTAAGAAGAAAATGTCCCGATGGTACAGGATAAGTCAAGACCCGAAAAATATCTGATACGGTGCAAGATTAGCTTGATAGGTGGAGAAATAATTAAGAAAATATTTTTACACGAATTTTCTATTTATTTTCTCCCTATTTTAATGCCAAGTTGATGAATGGACATGAAAGGAATTGTTCAAGTTGTTAGAAAAATCTAGAACCATCTAGAAGAATCTAGAATAATCAAAAAAAAATATAGAAGAACCTAGAGGGATCTAGAAGTCTCTAGAAGCATCTACAAGCTTCTTGAAGCCATGACTCACCAAGACACTTGTCATCTTCTTAGGCTATGTTGCTTAAGATGTGTACACATGGAAGGGTGGTTGAATGGAGGACTAAGATGTGCTCTTATTCAAGAAAGGCATGTGTGGCATTATAGAAAGTATGAAGCCTATAAATACCCCCCACATGTTCATTTTCGTGCAAGACCATTTTAAGAGGGGAAACTCTTGCAAAATCAAAATTGGAGAGAGAAAGAAGAGAATTCTAGAGAGGGGAAGTGATTTGGAACCAATGTAAGGCTTCCAAACTTCTCTATGTTAGTTTATGATAGTTATATGTTGATTTTATGATAGTTTGATCATGATGGGAAGTCATTTTCCTAAGGGAAAGTGCTGTCTAAATTTTATCAAAATGATAGGGAATAATTTTATAAAGCTAGAACATCAATCCAAAAATTAACAGAAAAAAGGTTAAGTTCAAGATAGTTAGTCATGAACCTTGTGTAATCTATTGGTCCTAATGGATTGTGTGATCATTATGGTCATGTTTAGAATCTTGGAACATCCAAGAAGATATTTGATGATGTTGATCGAAGGTTCATATGGTTGGGAAGTCAAGAGAATCAAAGGAAAAACAAGAGGAAAGCTTGAAGTGTAAGGTAGTGAACTTACCTTTTATGTGCTTGATATGGTATGCTTATGTGTTGGGTTATTTTGTTGATTGTATGATGTTGTGATATGATAATTGTTCCTGGAAATGCTATTTTTAATATGTTTCCATGGCGATGTATTTTTATACCAAGTATAAAGTATGATGGCATGTCACTGATTAACTTAAGTTTATGAAATACTACATACCATACACTAGCACCCATCTTGTGCATGTATGTGGTAATGTTTGTTACTGAGATTTTTCTGAATCTTTACCCTCCCTAACCAACCATTTAGGCCAATCAATGATAGGAAATAATGGCATGAGAAGCAAGGAGAAAAAAGTGGAGAATTATTCTTGTTAATGGATGAGACTGTTGATGAATTTATAATTCTCCTATTTTGTAAACTATGTTATGGATGCCAATGATGCCATGTATTTAGTTATAATGTTTATGACATGGATAGAAATGTATGAGAATGAATGGAAAAGAGTAAGCCTAAGTTATGTATGCCAAAGAAATAAAAAGAATTAAAGTAAAGAGTGGTTAAGGGATAAAACGTAAGTCCTGGGACAGTGAGTTTGTAGCTCCAGTTTGACCTATCAAATGAATGAGTTGAACCACAAAATTTGGAATACTTATATTACACATTGCAAGCTTTAAAATGAGATGCAGATCACCTCAATTGGATGAGTACACAAGGAGATACGAATTTTCAAAGTTGAGGTACAGAATCTGGAAGTTCCAGATTTTACCAAATGAACAGTAATATTTATTGATTAAGCTGTACAAATTAGGCAAGGATAAGTCCAATTGGATTTTTTTCCTTAAATATCTTTCAAAGAGCTTTTCGTAGAATTTTAGAACACCTCAATACAATTTTTATGGAATTAGTTATGAATTTTTGAAGTTAGGCCTGTAATCTAGAATTTAAATAGTGAATAGTAACTCGAGTAATTATGTTGAAATTTTAATCCACGGGCTTGTGTCATGATCTGCTTAAACCATAATACTTACTAATGCATACTCTGAGGGGTAAAAGTAAGGACGTTACACTTTCCGTCTTTCTTCTCTCTTTTACCCCACTGATAATGTATCTCATTTTCGAAGGGAAATAAGTATTTACTAGGGGCTGTGGCGTCATTTCGTTTGTGGAATTAATATCAAATTGGCCCCTTGGTCTTACAGTGAGGTTTCAGAAAGTTTGGCTCTTTGACATTAATTGTGTTCTACGGTCCTAAAGTGAAAATTTCCCTTTTTAATATTATACTATTAACTATATGAATCTCCAATATCATATGAATTTCTTCTCTCTCATTACCCTTAATTATTAGATATGGGCATATATGTAAAAAAAAAAAAAGTATTTAATACCCTATAAAATTAACTAATGGCTTATAAAAAAAGATCAAGAATACTTTCTAGAAGATGCCTTATAATAAGAACAAAAAGGGGTATCCATTACAGAAAAGTAGATAGGATAGCAAGGAGCAAGCTTTACATATACACCCATACTACCTAGGAATTTTCCAATGTATACTTAAGCCTTATTAGCTAACTTGGGATACTGCTTCCTATTACGCAACTGTTCAATCACTGATGATGGATTCGGAATGGAAACCGCTTGCTAAGCAAGCATCGAATTACTGATGGATTCAGAGGTGCTACTACTACAGATATGAAGAGAGCTACTACAGATATTATTAGGACAGGGTAAAGGCCTCCAAAGTCATCTATTTTCAAACTTGTCGTCTCAGGATCACTATGGTCTTCAAAAATGAAATCTTCAATGGAGGTGGGTAAGGAGCTCCTGGCCATCAGCACACGATATGGCTCCGCATCTTGAGTCACCTTTAAGATTGCATTCGAGAAATGCAAGGCCAGGCTAGATTTCTTTGGGAATGCCTGACACATACAATAAACAAATATATATAGTTAACTGTAATTTGCCACACTCTTTGTGAACGTGAGGCTAGTTACGCTAACTTTGCCTTCTAATCAAGACAGAAGAGTGAAAAGGAGTAGACTTACAAAGGCAAATCCACCAGTTTTATGGATTGGTCCTGTCATCATGAAGCCAGATCTATATCTGGAGAGAAAGAGCGTGAGATAGGGAGTTTCATCAAAAATAGCTTCCACTGTTCCATTTGACAATGCTGAATTGTACTCCTCACCAGTTGCTAGAGCCTTTAATCGAGACGGGTCGAATCCCATTTGGTTAATCAGAAGCTCCTTCACCCACGACCCATTTCGATGTCCCACAAACACATTGCTACTTTTAACCCCATTTTCGTCCTTAAATGCAGGCTCTTTCTTCTCTCCTTGTGTTAAAATTGAAGTCAAATTCGCCGTGTAAACTTGCACTACTAAGATGAATAGGAGTGACGTCAGTATCACCATCCATCCTGCAGCTTTGCTTTTAAACTCCATCGCATCTGTAATATATCATCGTGCATAGAACTTTGATATCAAGTGTACTGTATGATAGAGTACGTACGAGACACAAATTGAAACATAATAAAATATACGCATAGTACATATGCTACGTAAGAGAACTCACCCATCTTGTAAACAAGGAAAGGGTTGAAGAGAAATTCTTTGGTTTTGTCTTCTTTGTTGGTTCTGTCTCTTTCGGGGGTTTTGTTTCTTTCTAACATAATTATGATAATTATTGCGCCCACAAAAATCCCACCAAGAATTAACCATAGTAACCAATCGAAAGGTTTGAAGAGGATTCCCTTACTTCTGTAGGCCTTCGCCCTTACCACCATTGCTACGCTTGAATCTAGATACGGCAACATGAAATCAACACAGTTTGTGCGTTTTGCTACAATTGTGATGTCTCCAATTATAGCATCAAGATCCTGCAAATATTTTCATACACAGAGCAAGTGTGAAGGTGAACTTGAAGTTAAATTGACAAAGTAAGCCAACTCAAGAAGACAAGAATGCATGCGAACTTGCCTCGTCTTTCATTTGGCTGCAGAGAATATCATCATAGTTTGTGGGAGTATCGCTTTTTTTCGGCAAGGGAACAAACTCATAATTATTTAACAGAAACGGCAAACGACTGATAGCTTTTAAGAACACATGAATAGCAAAGCCATCAATCCGAAGCTTACTAGAATTACCTGCATTCACAAATTCAGGAAAAGAATTTGTTCTTGGGACTCCTATTCTCAACTTCGGTGGTTTATCCAATGTGTCACCCGGCCACAGTGCCAGTGGACCACTTTGTTGGTATTCATCACCAGATACCTCGCCACTTTTACTATTATTTTGAACAAATCCATCTTTGGGGTTCCAAGATCCGATGATCCTTTCTCTTGTTCCTACCACATTGTATACTTCAAGCACTGATTGATCTAGTTGTCCTCGTTTTAAATCAAAAATTATCCCTGACACGCCTGTGAAATTAGTATCCAGAATTTCACTTCGAAGTTTTGTGCCATTATTGTCTGCGCCGGGCTTCTCTAATGCCATAGCCAGTGCTTCGATTGTGTGATAAGCCCACCATCCATAGATAGTTAGCCTAGCTCCTGGGAACTTATTAGTGAAATTATCCTCTATCACGTTACGCGCATCTGTTTTGATCGAATCCATTGGCCTCACTCCCAATGCACCTTGCATATACCCTTTCAAAGCAAAAGAATCAATAAAAGTCCCAGATGGGACTTGGCCACGATACAATTTTCTCGGAACCATAACTCGAGGATCTGTCAAAGAAGATAGCTCTTGGGTAAGTATCCAAGCATATCCTTCGCCCATCATGTCTTTCTTTTGTGCAGAGCTAATAAATGTTGTTCCGAGATCCATGCTCATATGGACAAGAAATACATGTGTTCGCATGTTGTTTAACCTGTTAAGAGTAATGTTAACTTCAAGATCTGATGAATCTGAAGCAATGGCAGTTACGTTAGCCATTCGTATGCCCATCTCTTTCAAGACATTGGTGAGGCATGGAACAAGATGACTGCCATATTCAGTCTCTTCATAAATGGGGATGATTGATTGCCACCCAAGAGCCTTAAGACTGGCGGCTATGGCTTGGAACTGATAGCAATTAAGGCCTTGATCGATGTAGATGGAGGATGGGGATGGCGGTGGCAAAAGAGATGGACCCGTTATGGGAAACCAAATGACAGGTACTTGCAATAGCTCACCCAGTCTCACAATGTACCTTGCTTGCTCTGAATTCTGCGGCCCCAACAGGGCACGTACTCTTACTTTTTTCATGAGATCATAAGCTGCTTGCATATCAAAAGGTGTCTCCAAGTCCTATCACCTTGATCTCTCCATGTTAACATGAAGTAAGCCTATTTTATACCAATTCCGTCTTTCTTATAAGTCATCACTTGCACGGTATCTAATGATTGTTTTTTTAATTTTACCTTTGTTTTATTGTTGTTGAAAAGAGGGAAAAAAGAGAGATATTTCAAAATGGCTTGTAAATTGAGGGAAAGAACAAACTTCGCGGGGGATAAATTTGAAAAATTTTATCATGCATTTTTTTATATGTGATAATAAATTGCAAGTGACTTATAATAAGGATGGGCTTATAATGAGGACGGAAGTGGTAACAAAATGGGCCTACTCTGTTAAGTGGGAGAGCCAGGGAGACAGGAATAGAGAACAGATAAAAAACCATATTATATTAAATAAATAAAATGAAATATCCTATTTATGATGGGCGTGAAACTTTAAGGGAAAATTGAATAAATTTCTCGTTGAGAATTTAATTGCCAAATGACACATAAGAACTTTGTGCAACTCAATTTTAATGAAATTCCTAACCAGGAATTTTGTCCCAATTTTTCCAAACTTTAATGAAGAAAATAGAGAGGGAGAGGGGAGAGAAAATTTTAATAGATCAATTTAGAAAAATAAAAAATGAAGTTATAAAATTTTGGTTAAAGTATACTTTTAGACCTTTAACTTTATATAAGGTTTTATTTTAATCCTTTAAATTTAAAAAGTAAACTTTTAATGCTCCAATCCTAGAATAGTCAATAAATAATAATGATATTAAACTCTTGAATGTGGATAAAATATTACTAAATGCTAACATATTAAGTTTAACTTTTAAAACAATCATAATTGTTATAAAAAATTATCATTTAAGACTAACAATTTTAGAGTTAAAAAACTAAAAGTATATTTTTTAAAATTAAAGAACCAAATTAAAACTATATATAAAGCTAAAGGACCAAATGTATGTTTTAACCTAAAATTTTAATAAAGTGCATATGTAAGATAAAAAAGTAAAAAAATTAAATAAAAGCTTTTATTCCCACTCTAATTTTTTTCTCCAAGAAATTAAGCACATTAAAATTTTCCTTCATTTCATTTCCCTCGTCCCAAATGAAAAAACTAATAAATAAGTATCTTCAAGATTAAAAAATTTCAAATCAGTCCACTAGAACGAAATGAAATTTCAGAATTTAGGTAAAATGACCTTATCGTCCCTCCCTTGTGGGGAGGAAAATAATCTCCTACTTCTGCTAGTCGCTGGAAGCTGCCGGTGGTCACCAGCAGTTTTTGACGACAATTTAGCAAATCACACTATTCATGAGTCACGAATGATGGTAGGACCAGGCAAACTCATGAGACTCAGACTAATTTTAAGTTATTTGGTCAATGACCATTACGAAAAAATCCGTCAAAAAAATAATATTAGACAGAAATTAGATTTAAGAAGATGGAGATTGGAGAAGTAGTGTTTGTTACCTCTTGATGCCGCGATGACGATGTTGTTCTGAGAAACATGCCGGACATCAAGGTAGATCCTGGTGGCTGTATCGTTATGAATGGAGTAGTAATTTTCGACGGCGAGGGCGAGGCTGTTGTTCACCATGTCACCAAATGTTGAGTTCAGATCAAGAATGACTCCTACTGGTACTGTTTGTGTGGCCATGGAAGGCCTCACTGTGATGTTAAGCCATAATAGTACTAAAAGCACAACAAGACTTGACGGAGAAGAAGCTTTCAAGCTTTTCCGTAACTCTAACATTATCGGTCTCATGCTATCACTCTCTCCCCCCCCCCCCAAGCTCTTCCTCTTTCTGTATATGTCCCAACCTCCATTATTAGTATTATACCCCTTCTCGCTATTGTTTTGTTTGCTTTTGGGATTCATTTTTCCTACTTTCATTTTCCCATTCATATATTTCTAATTGTTCCATTTGGGTTTGATGATGACTATTCTCATTTTTATTATCATGCTTATCCACTGTTTCCTTCCTTATCATTCACTTCTGCCCGGTGAAGTCAAGCATCAAAGGCATAACACATGGCTTTATGAGAAGATTCCTATCTTTTTGTTTAGAATAATTTTTAGTCCCTCAAGTTTACTCACATTTTGGCTTTGCCCCTCAAATTTCAAACCATAGATTTTGGCCTCTTAAGAGACGAAATAATCTAAATTTTTACTGGATTATAAGGATCAATATTTTAAATAAAGACAAACTTAAAGGACCAAAACTTATGGTTTAAAACTTAAGAAACCAAAATTAAATTAAAGTAAACTTAAAAGACCAAAATTTGTATCAACCCAATAATAAATTATACCACCTCTAGGTGTTAATACAAAAGCTAAGCAACAAATTCACTTTTCTCTTAAATATAACACTTTAATTTATTTTATCGCCTCCTAAATTTATAATTTTTTCCCAAAATATTTATATTGATTGCACATATTAAGGAATTTCATTTATCAAGGAGTAGTTTTAATGCATATTATTGATAAGGATATTTTAAAAAAACTAATACTTATTTATTACAAATAATTAATTAAACTAATTTTTTTAATATATTTAAATTTGTTATTTAGCTTTTGTTATAAAGATAAGAGGTAGTAATCCATATACTGCCTTGTTCTAATATCTAATATATGAGATCTAGTTTAAAAGTTTGATTTGGACTGCAAATTAAATTTTGTATTAAGAATCGGAGACAATATAGTTTGTTCGTCAATATGTAGATCTATTTATCAAATAGAAGTATTCAAAAGTCATTAACATTGTGATTAATTGGTTTCTCACACTTTATGCAATATATATGAAGTAGATTTATATCAAATTTTTTAATTACACATGATCATGTATTTTATTTTTTCTTACGTGAGTTTATGATTAAATACTGATTATGATCATGTATAATTAGAAAAGTTGACATAATAAATATAAAAAATTTTATATAGGTATTATTTTTTTAATGTGCACACACGTTTTCGCCTAGGTTCTAACAATCTATGTATTTATTGACAACAACAACCAATCTTGACTACTGTTAAAGAAATTAATTTATTTATTCATTGCCAACAACAACCAATTTTTATCACAAATAAGAGTTGATCCAGTTGGTAAGAAGTTAGCTCATAACCTATAAAGTTGTGAATTCAAATCCTGCTGCTAATACGAGGATCTCTGAGAAATTAATTTATTTAAAAAGTGACGCCGGAGCGGGCATTAGTGGAATTTAGTATACTCCATGATTGATTAGGAAAAAAACAAGAACGCAGTGACGTGGGAAGAGTGACGCAACGCAGGAATCATGTGGTCATAAAGTGATGTATGACCCGAGTCCCCAATCCATGCTTTCGATGGTATTTTTTTTCCTGTTAATTAGATACTTTAATTTTGTCGTATTAGTACCACTAATTCGTATACAAAAACTAATTGTATTGATAGAGCAAAATTATAGAAAGTAACATATCTAATTAAAAACAGAAAAGTATAAATGTATTGAATTAAAAATTTAAAAGAGTATTAGTAACTACAAAATGCTTTTCGGTTTAATAAATTAAGAATAAGTGTCCTAAAATAAAACAAAAATCATGTAAATCAATGTTTGGATTGGTAGAAAGAAAAGTAGGGTAAATTTTTCGTAAACCATAAAAGAATGAAGAAGGAAGTATTATTTATATTTTAAGAAAACTTTAAATGAAAGAAAGGAATATTTTGAATTTTCTTAACGAAAATACATGAACTACTATTTATTACGAACGCACATGAAAATCACAATTATATAAACTATCCAAAAGACACTAAATTAACCATTATAAAAGTATTTTCATATTCCTTCAACGAAATTAAGAAAAGATATTGATGGGTGCTGAGGGCTGTCGCTCCTGAATCCTGGTCATCCGGTAAAAAGGAAAGAAAGAAGAATTGTCACCAAAATTTTAAAAGGGTAATTTTGAGAACCTAAAAAAAAGATGTGGTCTACGAAAACCAGATAGGGTTCGAAAGTCGATTGTGTGTGGAGAAGGTGCTAGGCACCCCACAACACCTGTTCAAATGAACGGTTACCCTAAGTTAACTAATCAAAATAAATATGGCATTTTTATTATATTTTAATTACCCTAAAAAAAGATAGAAACAAAGAAAAAAATTTTATTTACAAAAAAATAAATTATTTATAAAGCCGGACTTGACCTAAGATAAAAACTTAAGGCCTATGTATCCTTTAGAGGAATCAAAGCCCATACAGTTCAGGGGTAAAAATGCGTGTCACTTAGTTGGTATTTTTTAGAAAATATTTATTCAATTAAAAAAAAGGGTTTTTTGGTGGGTTTGTATTTTTTTAGTATATGAAAACAAATTTTGTATTTTTATTTAAAAAAAATTTTTGAAAGAAATTTTGAATTATCCTCCCTACGGAAGTTCTCATAACCTCATACAGGAGAATGATCGTTCAAGCCTGTGGAGGTTCTAAAAACCTCACATGACTCTAAAAAAACTTTTGAGATTATATGTACATATTTTAAAAAGATTTTCTATTCTATTATTTATTTATAAACATGGTGCCAAAACTATTTTCTTTCTTTTTATTTCAAAAAGAAAATTTACATGACCACGTTGGTATTCTTGCGAAGACTCTTATAGTTTCACACGATTTACCAATGAATCTAGATACATGTGAAGGTTCTAAAAACCTCACAATCTCACATGGTATAGATTTTAACAAGAGAAGTGCTTTCAAAAACAAAACAAAAAAAGAACACTCAAAAATAATTCAACATGTTATTCAAGTTAAACATAATAGATAAGAATAAAAATTCATACTTGATGCTCTAAAAAATGGATACATTACATAAGAAGCCAATAATAATAAACTATATACACATATTAGTAAAAAGACATGAACCAAAAATAGAATAAATAAAATAAACTAGAAAATAAAAAGAAGAAAGTAGTTATCAAAGTAAGTACATATGGGAGATAAATAGATAAGGGCATATTTCAAACAAATTAGAGAGAAAGGGAGTAGTAAGAATTAACTAAAATCATATTGGATTGAACCCTCTAGCCATCACTGCTCAAGCTTACAAATGTGATAACAATCACAAGAGCATAGGCTTTCTTTGAGTAGGAGAAAGAAGAAGATGAACAAAAGACTTTTCTCTAGTTAGGCCTCCCCTCTTTTTCTCCAAGCCAACTCATTATCGTGAAATAAGATGATATAAAAGCTCTCTATCTTGTCTTCTTTTTCACCAAGAAATTCTAAGTACCTTCCTCTAACCCTTATTCTCTTTTTTACAGGCTCTGTCTAGGGTTTTTTAATTTTTCTCTAATTTTTATTTTTTAATTTTCCTCCATTATCACACATAATGTAACTTCCTATTTAAACACCAACTCATTATCAAATTGTGATTTTTTTATTTTTGTTTTTTTTATTTTTTTTACTTTTATGACTCCAAAATACGTTTCTAAATTAAGGAGCTAACCAATTTAAGTGAGGGATTTTTATTTGTATTTTATGATTTTTCTGATTTTCCTCTTTAACGTATTTACCTCACATTTCCTAAATTAGAGACCAATCAGTATTTAATTTTATCTTTTGCTTTATTACCATTTATTGTGAGAAAAATATTCTTATTTAATTATTTTCTAGTAGATTTTCAAACTTGGTTTCTAAGAAAAAATCAAGGAGGATATTTTTTTTTATTCTTTTATTTCCCCCTTTTTTTCTTTTTTTAAATTTTATTTACATTTAATATTTTTGTGGGGCCTGAACAAAATTGAGTGTTCACAAGGGCAAAAACAAAGTAAGTAAGAAAAGATTTTTAAATTATTACTATCATCTAAAAAAGAAATATTAGTAATTTTTAAGTTTTCCTTTATTTAAAATTAAAACATACATTTAAGAAATACAAATCCTAAGAATTTATAGATAAGAGTGGTTTTGTAAAAAGTAAATTAACTTTCCAACTTTTTATGTAAAATTATTAATATTCCAACTTCCTTATGCCCCCCCCCCCTCCTTACGTTTTCTTTCCTTTGTCTTTCTTTGCTTTCTTCCCATCATGACACTGATGGTTGCTAAAGGTATGTTGCTTATCAGAACCATTATTCATTAAGGTATTGCTGGTACGAAGGAAATGGAGGAAAAGAGAAGAAAAGGAAGGAAAGATTTTAATGAGTTTTATTTAAAAAAAATTAAAGAGGAGAGTTTTAAAATTATAACAAAAGGAAGAAATAATATAAAAAATAATAAAAATTAATTAAATGCTTTTAATCCTACTTTTTTTAATTTTTTCAGTTGAGCTCATTACAATTTTTTTCTCCCTTCTCTTCTCTTTCATTTTTTTCATACCAAACAAACTCTAAAACTATGTCATGATTCTTCCAGGACGAAGAGAGACGTTTTTTTAAGCACAATGCACAAGCAAACTTCATAAAACCCCACAGCCGCCCTAATACTTTTTTATTTTTTTTAAAAAATATTAACAATACGAAATTATAAGTGGGATTAAATTTTCAACCTCATACTTACTTTGAAGTCTCTATATAGCTTTTTAACTTGAAAGCATGCCTTACCCAAACAAATTATGATATTTTATCTATTTTACCAACATAAAATCATCTATTGTTGTCAAGTTCTAACAAATTATATACTACCTCCGGTCCTTAATATAAGACCTTGTTTGACTTTTAGTTTGGTCCTAATTATAAGACCCCTATCCACTTTGTCTCTCATATTTATGCATTCTTTTTCAAGATAGTCCCT